TTTTTTTTAACTTTCTTGCTAAAATATACAAAATTAAAGAAAACCGGACAAGTGTCTAAAAGAACCATCGCCATGGCAAGACAGCCGGCCGTGTAAGTAGTCACTCGAGTGACCGTGATCGGAAACACACTAGGACAGCGGTGCGGTCCGCGCTGGGCGCCCCTGCTGCCACCGAGCCGCAGCCCTCGTGGGACATGGGCGGGGCACAGACTGAAGCGGCTCCAGGAGAATGGTCTACACCCAGTTGCCACCAAGCAGCTGGGGACTTCCTGGCAAGCGTGCGCTTCTCAGGCCTCCTTTGTTCTCATTTGCAGAAGGAGAAAATCGGTCTGAGGATCTGACGTCGCCTGCTGAGCTGTAATTGTTCGTGATCCTATATTGCCACCTGGCACCAACTAACTCTGAAAGTGGATCTCCTAGGAGAGGTTTATTGTCCCTCAACATTCAGTTTGACTCAACTAAGTATTTTTCTCTCTCTAAAATCACTGGCCATTTCGAAGCCATGCAATGCATTCGTGTACGTGGCACCTTATCATTGCTCCAGTTAAACAGTAAGGACCTAGGAAGGACCCAGAGGGCTCTGCGTGTGTGACAGGCCTTGAATGATGGAGCACCTAGAAGCGAGATGCAGTTCTTGTAAAACGGGCCCTCAAAGGCAAGAGAGCTGCCCTGTGCAGCCAGAGCTGTGGTTCTGGAAACAGCCAGTGGCAAATAAGAAAGGGCACGTGGGCAGAGCAACTGGCACCACATCTAGAGGAGCGTGAGCCCCTTCCCTCCTGCCATCCCCAACGGTAGGACGCGCTGCCCTGTTATTACTCACACGCACGTGGACACAGCACTTGGCATTTTTTAAGGTATTTCCTCACTCAACAGCTCCTATACTCTGAGAATCAACCACATACTCCCCCTGAGGCAGGTAGGGCAGTACTGTTACTCCCATTTTACACATGAGAAAACAGAGGCCCAGAGACGTGTGAAAAATTTAGCTACTAATGGAAACAGCTGGGCTACAGCCTAGGGGCTCTGGTGCCCACACTGGGTTTGATTACAGTGCAGTACAACATCCTGCTAGAACTAGCTTAGTGGTGCAGTGTTAACTGAAGGCTGGGCAAAGTGTGTTCTGGAGGGTTCCATCCTGGAGATGGATCACTCGAACCATGTGAAATGTACAGCACGGTGAGTTTGCTAATGCCCCAGCCACCAGCATCCTCAGATGAAGCCCTGCGTGCAGCCCAGGCCAACGAAGGTGCTTCCTGTAGAAGTTCTATAGAGTCCCAAGGCACGGAGTCACTCTATCCATGGGGACAACGGGAGTTTCCTAAGTATTTGCCTGTTCTGTTCTACTTTTGGTATAAAACCTAGGGACATCCTACTTGCGATTTTGGAACGAGAACACGCTGAAGTTAATATGCTGTAATACACGTCTAACTTCATGTCCAAAGATAACGTTTGTTTTATTTAAGCCTTGTCGAGGTGGTGGTCATGTTGGTGTGTGCCCAGGCACAAGGGCAGAGATGTGACACGCTCTCCTGCAGGGCCAGGGGAAAGGGCCTCACCCTGGAGATGCCTGAACTCCCCTGGGGAAGGCTGCAGCCCTACCGTCCCTGTCTCTGACGACGGCCACTGGCCTATCCAAGTCACAGCAGCTCCAGCTCTGCCCCACCCTGCACCTCTGCTCACTTCCTTTCCTCACGGAAGGGCTGGGCTTTCTACTGCGCGCAGTTCTGTCTGTCTCAGTGGGTGGAGTCCCCTTCCCTCCTCCCCCATGCCTCGCAGCTAAGTGGTAACCTCCCCACAGGGGCAGAGACGTTGGGAATCTTCATCAGTGTCTTGGAGAAGCTACTGTCCTTCTCCACTGAGGAACAGAATATGTTGCTCTAGCCCTTGTTCCTTGGGAACACCCGTCTTCCTGCCCTGCGTGGATGGCTTGCATCTGAGAGCTTTCACTCTTACAGGACCGTTGACAACCGTTTCAGCCATGCAGGTCCCTGTGGTGGCCGCAGCTCTGTGTACATGGGGTTACCATGGCAACAGAGACTGCTGAGGATGCCACTGGCCGGGAGTGAACCTCCCTGATTCTGCCAACAGGCCAGGACAGCGCCACTAGAGACCGTGGATGCTCACATGAGACATAGGCAATGAAGAGCTGAAAAAGGAAACCCTAAAGAGAGTTTCCTCCAAACTAGGAAAGCTCGTGCTTGGTTTCTATTCCTACTTTCTCTGCTTTTGGACAAGAAGCCACTGCACACTCCCCAATAAGTCCCACCTCCAGGTGCCCCCGGGGGCCGGGGAAACAGGAAGGCGGACAGTGCCTGCCGTGACTACCACTCCCATCTGACAAGTGTGGCAGTTCGCCCACATGCACCTGTGCGCACCCTCCAGCTCCATGCAACAGGTTGTGATGCCAGGTAAGTGCCACCTCGTTCCACATCCTCCTGCCATGTTCCCTCGGGGCCTCGTCCCAGCGGGGAAACCCCACACAGCCAGCCACACAGCAGGAGGGGTGGGAGGGTGGGATGGGATCTGGGGCCACCAGCTTGCTGACCTCCAGGCTGAAGCAGCTCTGGCCTCCTGGCCCGTGGCTCCCGGCGTCCCCATCGGCGCGGCGGTGCAGCTCCCTTGTGGCTCGAAGGCGCAAGCTCTCCCGCTCGTCCCCCCGGGCCGGACCGAGCTGCCACTCTAGCTGCTCTCTCAGTCTGGACTGTGAGGTGCATGGGAGGGATTTTGTTTTGTTTTGTTTTAATTTTAAACAAAAAACACAGGACAAAGGAGTTGGGAGGGAAGAGAAAGAAACAAAAATGGGTAAGGGAGACGACTGAAAAAACTACCAGACGAAGAAAAGCATGACTAGAAACACCAGCTTGAAGACAGTGGCGCAGGAGAGAGGACAGACCGGAGTGAGGATGAGCGGAAGGGTGAGCGGACACGTCTGGAAGCAGACAGACAGGCGGAGCGCGAGACACATGCAGGGGGTGCGTGAGTCCGGAGCCCAGCTGCAAGCACACCGCCCGTGAAGGAACAGAAAACAAGGCTCCTCCTTCCTTACTTGTGGGTCGAGCAGCAAAAGCCATAATCCGGCAGCAGCTGGGCCATGCACCCCAGCGAGGCACAGGGGAGCAGTCCTCGGGAGGCCACTCCGCTCCGCCGCACCCTCGGCTCGGGAGGGCGGCGGGAGCGAGCGGCAGCGAGATTCTCCGGGAGAAACTTCCTCCTCTCGGAGCCGTGCTCTCGCCCCTGCTGGCCTGTCTTCCAGCAGGACACGGCCTGGGCTGCCTAGGGCAGCAAACCCAGGTAGGGATGAGCACGCTCTCAGCGAGTCTGCTAATTATCCTGACTGAGACGCGAGTTTGCACTTGGTCTTAAACTCCGCATTGCTTCTTCATCGGGCAGCTGGTGGTCTGAGACACCAAGAAAGGGGCAAAGCCGGCCGCGTCGATCCCTAGCGCCTCGTGGCGGGCCTTGTGTCTGAGAGCGCCTGTGCACCACGGGCAGCAGCACAGGGAAAAGTAAGAGAGGAAAAAGGAAAAAGAAACAGGAAATAAAAGAGAACTTAAAAAAAAAGAAAGAAAGCCAGCCAACAGAAAGGATTTGGTTGGCCCTCGAGGCTTTAGTACAGTGCGGGCTTGAAATCATGACCACGCGGCGGTGAGCAGCACGAGCCCGAGCGCAGCAATGCCAGCCAGGAGCAGGAAGAGCAAGACGGAGCAGGGAGGCGAAGCCAGGAGCCCCCTTACCTGCAAGTCTGCGCCCAGCTCCTTCCCCAGGTTCCCGATGGGGGAGTCCCGGGACACGGAGGTCACAGTGGAGAGGAAGCTGGAGGACTCTGTGAGGTGGGGCAAGGGCGAGAGGCTGTCCCCCAGCCGGTTCACCTGCTCCAGGAAGGCCTGCAGTTCCTTCCTGAAAGCCTTCATCTTCGCGTTGATGGTGCCCAGCAAGTGGGGCTCGTCCTGGGCACGCTCGCGCTGGACGCCAGGCTCCAAGGCGGCCCCCGTGTCGCAGAGGAAGCTGTCGGTGTCCGTGATGAGCCGCTCCACGGTCCGCTCAAGCCGCTGGGCCTCGTGCTTTATGGTCACCAGGCACTCAGAGTCCTCGCGGGCCTTCAGGAGCTCCACGGGGCATGGCTCGCTGGCCTCCGACGGCTTCCCGCTCCCGAAGCCCGAAGTCTTCTCACACGTCTCCTCTGAGTCGCTCTCGCCACCTACAGGGCCCTCCCGCCTGGGCTGGGGCAGGCGGCCCTCCTCCCCGTCGTCGCTCTCCTTCTTGCCCGCATCACTCTCCGCATCGCTGTCCCGGGGGCTCGGGGCGCGCGGCCCCAGGGGCATGGCCAGGTCGCAGCGCTGGACGCTGGACTGCAGCACGCGGTTGTCGTGCTGCAGCGTCAGCACCTTCCCGCTCAGCTCGCTGATCTGCAGCCTGGCCGACTTCAGCTCCTCCTGCAGGGGCGCCCCGGCCCCGGCACCCTTTCCCTCCCCGAGCCACCCCGGCTCCTGGCGAGGCTCAAACTTGAACTTGCTCAGCTCGTGTGTCAGCTGCCGGTTGTGGTCCTCGATCTCGGATATGGACCTGCGGAGCAGCTCCGCCTCCTCCTCCACAAACTGCAAGTGGCGGCGCAGCTCTGCGGAGGACTCCACGGAGTCGCCGAAGGGTGAGGTAGGAATGCCGGGCGCAGGGTCCCGGCCCAGCCCCTCTCGCTCGTGCTGGCCTCGCGCGTCCTCCATCTCCGCTTTGAGGCCGCGGTTCTCCACCTCCAGCTCCACGATCTTTCGGCCCAAGATGTTGGCTTCCTCCTCCACCAGCTTCAGCCGCAGCTTCAGCTCGGCCTCGCGGGTGCTGGGGGGCCCACCCGCTTCCCCCGTGGGGAGGGGGCTGTCCACGTCGCCGTAGAGGGACTTGTACTTCTGGAGCTCCTGTTCCAGCTCGTCCTTCTCCCGTCCTAGCCTGGCCATTTTCTTGCGCATCAGGGAGGCTTCCTCTTTGGCAAACTGAAGCTGGCACTTCAAATCGGCACTGTCATCCTGCCAGAGAGAACAGCCCGAGAGAGGGGTTATTTGGAAATACCAAATGTTCGTGTTTTTGACGATTCCCCTCGCACCTCGCCCCCAGTACACACGCAAACACACAACACCGATGTTTCCGTCAGTGCGTTTGGTTACCCGGAGAAAGAGCCGACACAAGCAGAGGTGCAGAAGGGGCCTGGGAAAGGCTGCAGCTTGTTGCTTTGTCACGGAGACGGAAGAAACCAAGACGCTGGTTGGGAAAAAACGTGCACATGAAAACCATCACACAAATTGTGAGTGAAGAAGGAGAAAATGAAATGAAACCTAACACCCACCAGTAACACGTGACCCTTCGGTACCGTGGATCTATCTGGTCAGTCACCAGCACGGGTGAGAGAGACCAGAACCCTCGCCAGAGCCCGGCACAGGCAAGCGGACTTGGGCCACATCCACCCTGCTGCACTCACTCCCTCCCCCATCCAAAGTGGCAGTGACCCACAGGTACCGCCAGGATGGGAGGGCCAGGTGACCCCAAGACAGAGCCCAGCTTTTCCCGACCTGCTGAGGTGTGTGAGCCAGGGCAATCTGCCTCCCTCCCTCCTGGTCTCCCCAGCCCCAAAGTCCCACAAGAATGACATGATGACAAGAAAATGAGGTGATCAGTGACGAGCAGGAGGGTGCTTTGGAAGTCCAGGTGCTTGCTGAGTCGGTCCCCAGCTCTGACGGCTGCTGCAAACCCAGACACCTGTCTACTCACGCCTCCACCACGCAAACGCAACCTCAGAGCCCTTGCCCGTGTGCCCTTCCCTGTAATTACTGTAACGCGGCAGGAAGTGACACTCAGAGACCAAAGGCCAGGAGTTAAGTGTTGGGTGGAATCAAGTGTTTTAGAACCTGAGAAGGGGTCCTCATCGGGACACCAGGGGAATACCAGTGGGTTCTCGAGGGTCCCCGAAGCTGACTCTGCTGCTCACAGCCGCATTGCTCGGCTGAGATCAAGAAGGCATTTTGGAAACAACTGCAAAGTCAAGTCTGCTGTGCCAGCGCTGGTCTCCCTGCTTTGAAGCTATGCGAACTCTCTGTCTTGGTCTTACAAAAATGTTTTGCTATTCACGTTCAGGGAATGGGAAAAATGACTATTTCACTAGTCACTGATCTTCGACTGGCTATCAGAAGTTCCGAAAGGCTTCCCCCATCACACGGAGGAACTGCGGGAGTCAAGCCCCGTTGGCCCCAGGGGTGGAGAGAGATCCACCAAACTGCTCTCCAGGCCTGTCAGCTGTGCTCTGGAACAAGTCAACCCTCTGGAAGAGAATTAACGCGTTCACATCAGCATTTGTGCTCATGATGCGGCTTTTACACTCAGAGAACGTGGCTTGTTCTCTGCCATATTCTTGTTGCACACTCATGTGGCAGGAAGATACACAAACCCCTCCCTTGGGCCTCCCAACTTTCCTCCTCCCACTCTGCCTTGATCCCTCCTCCCCCACCACAAACCCCATGGAAAGGGAGAAAATGATGTGACAAGGACTCAGGGGAAGACCCACAGCCAAATGTGCAGCAGTGCCACGTGGGAAGCACGCTCTGGCACTATCTCTGCGCCCTTGGAGGGACAACATGCCTGTTGGCATCCACTTGGCCAAGGTTAAAAATGGGTCCTGCTGGACTTGGGGTTAAACCTGCTGCCTGGAATCCTAGCTTTGCCCTGACATTGTCCAGGGGACTTGGGCTAATCACAGAGCCCTGGTGAACCTGTCTCTTTATGTCTAAGGCAGGATGCTCGTCCAACCACAAGGTCGTTGTGAAGGTCAAATAAAATAATGTACAGCAAAGTGGTTTGTATATGATAAATTACCACATTCTAGCTTGCTGAAATTAACTTTGTTCTTTGTCTGAAACACAATTAATATTGGGGAAAGAGGCCAGTAACTCTGTCTTTATTTTTCCCCTCCTTGTACATTAGGAGAATAACATGTGTGTCACATCGTCTTCAGGTTCTAAGAACTTATGACAGTAAGGATTTGGTTTGGTTTTGGTTAGGCAGACATAAAAAGTACTTCTGTGGCTAACTCGAAACAAGGCTATCCATCCTACTCAACTACTGAGCAAACGGGTTATCACTACTGCTGAGGACATTTTTTTAAAAGGGCCTACGTAGACTACAAGGGCTGTAAAAGACACATACTGTGTTTAATCCTAATACTAAAGGAAAAGCATGTGTGTTTACTTGTTCATTCATTCTTTCAGTGCATATTTATTGAGTACCTACTAGGTACCAGAAATTGACATGCTACTTTAAACAACCCCAGCTTCTTGTAACTTTTAAAAGTAGAAGAATTAAAAGCACCTTTTCAATTTTCCATTAAATATAAATTTGCAAGACATCCAAAAATACGAGACAGGTCTCTGTTGTTCACATGAAGGAATGGAGTTTAAATTAAGCTGAAATGCATATCAGTGGAGACAGAATGTAAGTATTTTGCAAATAAATTGGATTGGAAGTTAAAAGCTCAGAGCTGGAAGACAGGGGATGCCATCAACCCCATCACGAACTTGGGAGCCAGTGTGTATTCACCGTCCCAATCGCCTAAATCACCCCATCTCCACCTGTGCAGCAGGGAAGTCCGCAGCAGCAGACATCACTGGAAAGTACGTCGTTCAGCCACAGGAAAAACTCGGCCCCGCCCTCTACCCACCTCCAGCCCGGAGCTCAAGACTGGGCTAGACCACGGGGTGGACAGGGCCACCTGCTGTGACTAGTGTCCTGACTCTACTTCCATGCAGACTTGTGGCTGGCGAGGCTTTGAAGTGGCGGGGGCCAGGCCGGGAGGGGTGGACCCAGCACAACTGCCTGCGCAGTTCCGGAAGTCTCATCTCAAACAAGCGTCTGGATCATGGACTCGCGGGCCGTCTCCCTGAGGGTCTCCCGCAAAGGCTGAACTGAGAAGTTGGGAGAGGGGCGCAGGATCTCTAACAAGGGTCTTACGCGCTTATCTGCACCCCCTTATGCCAGTAGGAGATCCCATGCAGCCCTCAATCACCCTGATTTCAGGAAACCTTCAACTTCACACCGTTCCCTCCATCCACCATCCCCTGCAAGTCTCACTGTAGCCAGAACAATTCTCCTCGTCGCCTCGAACCTAAACCCAGGTCAGTGAAAGCAGCAAGGTTCTATGACATACACTAACGAGGGTCCGGCTGGTATATTACCTGAGGATTGATAAAATGTCCCAAAAGTCTTCTTGTTCCTTAAAGAAAGAAGCTATACAAACACCAAGGATTCTAACACGGGATCAGAGCATGCTGCCATTTCGACGCGGCACCCACGCATGCACAACGAGGCCTGCCACCAAGACTGAAGCAGTTTCTGAAATACAGACAATCCTGAATCCAGGGGGAGTGTGTATTCAATGAAGGGGTCAGACTTGCTCGTGAGGAGGCTGCGGCAGGGCCCGCTGCGCCTGCCAGGCGGCGTGTGGGAGGGGGAGGCCCCAGGGAAGCCGAGCTTGGCCTGTTCTTGGGGGCTGGGGGGCTCCTTCCAATAAGATGGGGCATCACAGCCTCGGCGCAGGAGGCTGGACACTCATCTTATCTCGCAACAGAGACTTTCTAAAACTCTGCCAAGACTCTAGGGGAGGGGTCCAGGCCGCATCCTAAACTTAAGGATGTCAAGCTCTGGTTTCGTGAGCTCATCGGCTCGCGCCAGGAATGCAGCAGGAAAGCAGAAGATCAAGTCAGACTTTCCAGGACGCGATTCCCGCTGCGGGCAGAGAGGGTAAGCGTGGCATGGAGGGAGACACGCACGGGGCCCACCACCATCACCACCAGCGGGAAAGGCCTTGTCAAGCATCAGAAATATATTCCATGTGTATATATTCTCTGGCTTGTAAGCCTGCCATCTAGCCAGCGGCCCGAGCGGCTGTCTGCTCGCGTGCCTACCTTGCGCCAGGGCGCCAGTTTCCTTTGAGTTTTGGTCGCAGACCTGCAGTTCCCAAGGCGCTCCAGTCCACCATTCTGCTGAACAGAAACTCCCTTCTCAATAACCCTGTGGGCTAAGGGGGGCAGCCCTACACGTCCCAGGTAGCAGGACTCTGACGCCTGCAGAGGGGCTGCGGCTCCTGTCCTCGGCCTGTTTCACCCGCAGGCGAATGCAATTCCATGCTGTTCCTTTCACAGTGGGGCAGAAATTCCCCTTTTAAGGAAAAGATCTTCCTCGGTCAGGAGCCAGTTAATGAGAAAGGCCCAGGAGGGTGTAAGCGCCCAGCAGTGGGCAGCGGACTTTCATTTTCCTGTGATTAGTGGATTCCAAAGTGAGATGCGGGGGGGTGGAGAGGATGGAAGGGAAAAGTTAATCTTCAGCATTTCTGCTGCTCACATGGGCCTGGCCCTCCTGGAATGACATTCCGGGCTTCAGTGAGTTTGGAGAATGGAGAAACCAGATGGCATCCTTAAGAAGCGAGCTCCCAGGGACAGGCTTTGGTCTCTCTAATTACTACTTGCTCTCAGAGTTCAGTGAGCTGATATCCCAATGACACCTTTGTTCTCCCCAACACCTAATACTAACAGTGATTTTTTTAAGAAAGAAGAAAGGAATCCAGTAAAACAACTTTTCAGAAAAGCTAAGAAAGTTTTGAAGAACACATACCATGTACATAGAAAGAGCTAAGCTTTTTGTAACATTTCTCAGCTAGAATATTTTACTTTCAATTAGGACAATTTAAGATATTTTCGGCTTGCACATTAAGAAAAAAACAACACTCAAAACAATGGCTTATGAACAACCCAAACTTCAGCAGCTGTATTATTTTATTTTACTATGTGCGTGACTTTGAAGGCCATGACACTTTTTACCAGTTATGAGGACTGCCAGGCCCCTGAACAACACCAATTCTGTTTCACACAAAGCTGGTTTGTTCTTCTCTTTCCTGGAGAAATCACCAGCTTATCAGTGCAAGAAAGAAACAGAAGGGAGGAGCTTTGGGTTTGGAAAGAAATGTTCACTCCATGGAGGTTTTGAATGAGTCCAAATGTTTTGTCAGGTAATGTTTCTTTGAGTTTTAAAGGCAAAGCTACGTTTTGAGAAAATTCAAAACGAGGTGATTTCTTCTTTAGGAGATATAACATTGGAACGAAAACCTCTGCTTACCTGGTTAAAGGTTTTCTTCTCTTTGTACGTTTCCCGGCTGCCTCGTCTTTTCAGGGAACTCTGAAATAGATCCAAGTGACATTCTGTTACCCAGGGGGTCACATGTAACAGCCACCATAGGTGGACATCGTCCCCAGGTGGGAACACACGCAGTTGACGAAGGCTGTTTTCCGCTAAAATCAGGGAACAACTTAGAGTCAATATTTACATGCAGTAGGTAAGTCTGGGGAGATGTTTGAATCCTCATTATTGCATTTGGGGTATTCCTGACTCATTCAGTTTAATGACAAAGCAGGTGGCTGGATAATTTGTACCAGTGCAGAGAAGGCAAGAAGAGGAGAAAGGTAGCAAGTTTTGGAAACACATAAGTAATATTTCTGGAGCTGGTTTATCTTCCAAATTATGTTTTGTTGGAGCTAATATCAAAATTAATTGTTGCTTCCTTCATGGCCAAATAAAAAAGTGATAGGGAGAGAAGGACGGCCCTTGTTTATGGGGAAAACTTAATCTAGGTTGCAGAATTCTGGAAAAATCCACGGCCATTCATGATTAAGCCTCCATCTTAAAGATCTCATAGCGTTTATAATCAATTCTCACATGAAGCGGCCTAGCTGTGTCCTACAGCGGGGCGGGGGTGGGGGTCCCTGCCTAGTTTTACGTCACAGGTGCACCGTTGCCTGGTCCACGCAAGACATTGCACGTGTGTCTGAAATACAAGCAGGAGCATGAATAAAAGAGCCCAGGATGTCTGCAACAGACTAGCGGGGAGCCAGGACAGTGCCTGCTAAGGGGAAGTGTGAAGACAGAAAGAAGATGACCGGAAGATGAGTGAGAAACACCCTGGAGGAATATGAAGGGATGTGTAGCCTCTTAGTCTGAAAAGATTAAGTTAATCCTGAGGCAAGCTGGAAGCAAGCAGGGGGGAAGGAAAGGAAAGCTCTGTTGGCCCCATTCAGATCTTGGCGGGGCAAAGAGGTTCTCCTGGACCTCATCTTGGGGTGGGCTCGCAGCCCCGACTCTCGGCTGCATTCCTGCGCTGCTGCCCTATCAGAGCAGTGTGCAAAGGAGGTTCTCCTGCAAGCCGCTTATATCCCAGTTAAGCGCATTCACTCAGCACCATTCACGACTTAGGAGTCTCACTCTTAGAAGGCCAGGCCTTGGCATTTATTGGAGGAATTCTAGGTGAAGAAACAATTAAATTCTAGCTGCCCCTCTAGGAAGCTGGAGACCTGGCTGACAAAGGGGGATGGAGCCCCAGCTGCGGAAGCAGCCTTGTTTCCTTTAGTCTCTTTGGCAAAGTGAGTCAAACACGGAGAGAACCTTAGTCTCTCCCGGCAGGTAAAGCGAAGGCTGTCTTAAGAGCGGCTTGAGCTCTCCCGCCGTAGCGAGAGGGTTTTCACCCTCACGCTTCAGTTAGGGAGTGTCCTTTCCTGGAATGAGCTGAGTGAGGGGAACGTTCCTGATGATTTGCCATGGAGAGGAGTTACAGGAAACAAGTTGGGACAGCCTGTCCCCAAGCGTCACCTACGGGACTGGATTCCAGGACCGTAACGCGAGTGCGGAGCCTGCTGCCCGCGATCTCCCACAGGACCGAATACAGAGTCTGCACGTGCGGAGAGAAAGCGACGTATGTGGAAGTGAAACGAAAGCTAGAAGTGGAGACAAAAGTTTCTTAAAATCTCTGCAGAACCATGGGCGGCTGCGCTTGATGCTGGAGGCCGGGGCACATTCTGGGTGGGGAGAGGGTGAAGACAGGAGCCTCAGCCTGCCTCATGTGTCTTCTCCCCTTGCTGATGGGCTGTCACCTGCAGCCCCCGTCCTGTGACCCTCCAGCAAATCACGGAACAGGCAGGGAGTCATGGAATCCCCGACACAGACCCCATCCACAATGGCAACTAGAATGAAAGACGCTGCAAGGATTAAAGTTAACTGGAAATTTGCAGGGCCTGCATGAGGGAAACCACAAAACTGTGGGGAGCAACACACAGTAATGCTTGATGCTGCCTGATGGGAAGCTTTGTGTTATTTATACAGACGTCTGTCCCGTTTCTCCCAAACCATCTTGTAAGCACGGTGTCATTTTAACCAAATTCCTCTCTCTCTACATATATCTGCACATAATATATAATATATATACAAATATACACACACTGTCTGTAAGGGTGATGAGAGGATGGAAGGATTTGACAAAGTGAAAACTCTGCAGGGCCCAGTGGCGTGGGTCTATAGTCCCAGCTACTGGGGAGGCTGAGGCGGGAGGATGGTGGAAGTCCAGGAATTAGAGTCCAGCCTGGGCAACGCAGCAAGACCTGTCTCAAAAAATATATATATGTAGTCATTAAGAACAGGAGCTGGCAAACTATGGCTCTCAGGACAAATCAACCCATGGCCTGTTTCGTAAACAAGGCTTAATTAGAACACAGCCTGATTTACTATTGTCCGCGGCTGCTTTGCACTGCGGGGGCAGAGCTGAACACCAGTGACAGGCCATTAAGGCCTGCAAAGCCTGAAGTATTTACTATCTGGCCCTTTTCAGAAAAAGTTTGCTGATCCCTCATCTAGAAAAATAAAATTAGTGAAAATAGCCAAGAACACTTTGGAAAGGAAGAATAATGACAGTAGGTTTGTACTAAACACAGATACTATAATGGTTTGGTGCTGGTACAAGAATAAACAGATTAGTGGAACAAAACAGAAAGCTCAGAAATAGATTCAAGAATATATGGGATTTTAACAATCAATACAGATAGCATTTCAAACTAGTGAGGAAAGAATGAGCTATCTGGTATATGTTGGTGAAACAACTGTATAAAAATTACGTGATCCAAAAAAAAGTGAGATCCAATTCATACTACACATGAAAATAAATCCTAGATGAAGTAAACTTTAGATTCAAAAAACCATAAAGGAACTAGGGGAAAAAAAGATGAATTTCTGTTTGTTCTTGGGGGATGGCCTTTACAAACACAGAAACAAAAGCAGAAACAGCCAGGGAAAAGATGAACAGATTGGTGACATTTTTAACTTCTCAAAAAAATATATCAAAAGAAACCACTTACAGTATTAAAAGGCAAATGATAAACTGGAAAAATATTTTTCTAACACATGACAAACATAAGAGTAATATCTTGAAAGCAATAGAAAAATCATCTTAATAAGAAAATAAACAAATGGCCAATAAATACGATTACCAGTGTTTGTTAAAACAAGACATCATTTTTTTTTCCCTTAGAGATTTACAGACTCAAAAAAAGCAGGGCACACAGTGCTGGCAAGAGCCGGAGGAGGCAGGCACTTCCAGGCTGACGAACGGGCGGGCGCGCCATGTGGCCTTTCGGGAGCAACTCTGTCGTACAGGCGCACAGGTGCTGAGGCAATAATTCCACCTCTGGACCGCGCCCTAAGGACAACGCAGACGTGGGTGCCAAGACTTATGGGTAATGCTCATCATAGCACCATTTATAATAGTACTCGAGTACCGTGTATATATTTTATTGTATATATTTAAGGTGTACAACATGATGTTTTGATATACTTATCTTGATATGCATACATATAATGGACTGATTACTATAGCAAAGCAAATTAACATACACAAATAGTTATGTTTCTTTTTTCTTTATCTTTCTTTTTTTTTGTGGTAAGAGTCCCTAAAATCCACTTTCTTGACAAATTACCACTATACTATACTATATTATTAATTATAGTCCTCGCGTTGTACACTAGATCTCTAGATACAATGATGGTTTTGAAGAATATTTAAAGATATGCTCACAATACATTAAAAGGAAAATGCACGTTACAGACAGCATGTATTTTGTGATCTCAAGACGACTAAAATATAAATATATGTATTATATGTGATATACATATATAGTTACAGTGGTATAGTTTGGATGTCTGGCCCCTCCAAATCTCATGTTGAAATGTGGTCCCCAATGTTGGAGGTGGGGACTGGTGGGAGGTGTTTGGGTCATGGGGCAGATCCTCATGAATGCCTTGGTGCCTTCCCATGGTCATGTCTGAGTCCTCGATTCATTAGTTCACCAGGACCTGGTTGTTTAAAGAGCCTGGCCCCACCTCCTCCCTCTCTGCTCCCTCTCTCCCCATGAGACACGACAGCTCCCCCTTGCCTTCTGCCTTGGTTGGAAGCTCCCTGGAGCCCTCACCAGAAGCAGACACTGGCGCCATGCTTCTTGTACAGCCTGCAGAACCGTGAGCCAAATAAACCTCTTTTGTTTATAAATTACCCAGCCTCAGGTATTTCTTCATAGCAACACAAAACAGACTAACACAGTTAGGAAAGTGGACTGGAGGGGTATACACCAAAATGTTAAATAGTGATCAACTTCAGGTGATAGAATGATATGTGATTTCAGTGTTCTTTCAGTCCCTAAATTATCTACAGTGAGTACTATTTCCTTCAAAATGAAAAAAAAAAAAAAAATGAAAGCCAGGAAATTAAAACCTGTATTCTAAAGATGTTGGAGAAAAGGGATTATCACCAGTCTCCCATATAGGATTGCAATGGCAATTCCCTGGAAGTTATTCACCAATTTCTTGGTCCTTCAAATATAACCCATACATATATAGTTGGTTAAAAAGGCCAGGAAGCGCCCTGAGGGTTGGGGAAACTGGCCAGGTGCCCCGCTGCACTAAAGGTCTCCAGGCATATGGTCCCCTGGACAAGCATCAAGCAATCCTGAGGAACAGCCACCGCCCTCCAGCACGGGCGAAGTAGTCTCCTCACTGGCCACCTGCCAGAGCCCTGTCCAGTGTAGAGTGCTGGGTGCCAAGAGACCCGGGGCAAAAGGACCCTGGGGGGAGGACAATTTGTGTGAGCATTATTCATGCCCCGCTTATTCCTCTGGATGACTCAGAGATCCAGTGGAGAGTCTCTTCCGAGGAACAATGAGGGGTCAATGCAGACGATCAAATAAACTGAAGCCAGAATGCAGCTTTGCCTGGTGATTAATTCTAGTCTGATCAACTGCCAGCAAATCAACCCCACATTCCTACTGAAAGAAAAAAAATTAAGTTTGTGAATCCATTCAGAGTCC